CTGCAGCCCAAGAATTAAAGGAATTAAAGGCATGTGCCACCACACCCGGCTTGCTTTACTGGATTTCAAAAGTATAAATATGAGGGGGAAAAAAAAACCCAAAACATTAATTACACTGTTTATATTTTTGTTTGTATATGTGTGTTTTTAAAACTTTTCAGGTTGTGAAGTTCCTCCTGGTTAAAAACACTTCTCAGGGCTGGGGAGATGGCTCAGCAGTTAAGAGCACTAACTGCTCTTGCAGAGGGCCTGGATTTGATTCCCAGCACCCACATGGTGGCTATGAACCGTCCTTAACTCCAGTTCCAGGGGAATGAGAGGCCCTCTTCTGACTTCCTCGGCACTGCATGACATGGTGCACTCATATACATTCAGGCAATACACTCATACACATAAAATAAAAATAATAAATAAAATATTTTTTAAAAAAAACACTTCTCTAAAGACTAGTTACTTTTATCTTCTACAAACAGCAAAGGGCAACAGTATCAATAAGTAAAAAAGACCCCAAATTTAAATCTGTTGCTGTTTTCATTTGTAAAATAGAAATGCTATTTTCTAATTATGCAATATGCCAACATTTCCAACTGAGAATCATTAAATTACTATCCCCTACAAGACTCAAAAACAAGATACTGAAGGACAGGACTGTGTTACTTGATATCCAATTTTCTGAGTTGTATTTGTTAAAGGGTGGAGCAGTATTTGACAATGTATGGAATGTACAAATCATTACCAACTTCAAAAGTTTCTGGCCTTCCCATCAAAAAATTCATAAATACTCCAGCTGACATTTTTTTAAAATTACTTTCAAAAAGCTTTAACCTTGACTTCATGTTAGCAAGTTTGTACATTCATTCTCTTCCTGCTACATTCCGAATATTCTCCCTCCAAAACCCAGGAGCTGAAACTTAATGGTCAATGTGATATGGGGGGGAGGGAGTTTAGGAGGTGATTAGACCAAGAGAGCACCTCTTTATGAATGGGATTAAGGCTTTCAAAAGAAAGTTTCACATAGTCCTTTCTCCTTCTACCATGTGCTGCTAGCATTCTCCTCTCTTCAGGAAGCAACCCTCAGCAGACAGGGAACCTGTCAGCACACTGATCTTGGAATTCTCAGCATCCGCAACTATGAGAAATAAATTTCTGTTCTTTGTAAGTTGCTCAATTTGTGGTATGTTATTACTATATCAACACAAATAAGTATATTTCCCCTATTCCATTCCACCACATATCAGTTCCCTAGCCCCAGAAGTAAATGCCAAGACTCTTCTCCCATACTAAGAAACTGTTCCAACAAGGTACCTTTAATTTCTTCCACCCATAGAAGTCCCTCTCAGATCTGAACATTGCTGTCATTATCCTCCATTTAAAGTGACAATCACTTTCTCTCATGGAGAATGCCATCAACATGAACTCGGAGCCTCTAAAGCTCCCACTGTCAATTTGTACTTAGAGGATAGAAGTTGCTTCTTCAGATACTACACTATATAGATGAAACTGTGTTACTGAATTGCAAATTTAAAACCATGTATTTATATTGATAATTATTCAGTTCTTTCTCCATATTAAATTCAGTAATGAGGGTTGATGGGACATGGTTTTCCTTTAAGGAAATCACAGAAAAATACAATTAATGCTCAAGTACAACACAACACAGAAATTAGTAAGCAACAGACAATGGCAATGTTTTACATTCCCAGTACTAACTTTCCAATACTAAGCTTTTGAAGCTGGTACTGATACACTGTTTCTACAAGAAAAATATATGCTTGTGTTAGGTTTCACCATCCTTTTGAGATGCTCTAACAAATTTTTAGATGGGCAGCCTTCTAGGCATTTTTTATTTCTTACATGAAACATCCACAGTACCTAACTCATACTCTTTAATTTTAACATAAAGAATTAAGAACAAACTGGTCTTTTCTTAAATGCTCATTTTAGTGTACCAGTAGGAATTTTACATTTACCAGCTTCATTTTAATAAACATCACCTGGAATGCAATGTGCCAGTTAGACAAAACAAACTGAATACTCAGCAATCCTGCCAGATCTTGGGAAGGTGTTGGGGGAAGGGTGACAAGGGTAGAAGAAAGTCTAAGAGTTAAAATAAGACATATATATCCTTTGTATGTATGTCAAATCATTTCGTTCTAATGCTTGTTATGTGTGTGTGCACGCGCACATGTGCATGTGCGTGTGTGTGTGAAGAATGTGCCCTAAATGTTTTCTAGACTAAAAATAAAAATATCAGGCTCAGTCAGTAAAGTGCTTGCCTTGCAAGCAGAGGGCCCAAATTGGATCCCACAACCCATGTAAAAAGAAGCTGGGCATGGTGGCATTTTTTTTTCAATTTTTTTTTATTTAAAAAAATTTTTTAATGTGTATGCATGTATTGCCTGCATGTAGTTAAGTGCACCCGTGTCGTGCAATACCCATGGAGGTTAGAATAGGCTGTCGGATCCCCTGAGGCTGGAGTTACCAAGAGTTGTTAGCTGCCATGTGGGTGCTGGGATTCAAACCTGGGTCTTCTGCAAGAACAACCAGTGTTCTTAACCACTGAGCTATCTCACCAGCCCCTTATTTATTATTTTTATTTTATGTGTATGAGTGTATTGCCTGCATGTATGTAAGTACACCTGTGTCGTACAATGTCCACAGAGGTCAGAAGAAGGCGTCAGATCCCCCTGGAACTGGAGTTATGGGCAACTGTTAGCTGCCATGTGAGTGCTGGGAATTGAACCAGATTCTTCTTTAAGAGCAGTCAGTGCTCTCAACCGCTGAGCCATGTCTCCAGCCCCAGTGATAGGTATTTGTAAGCCTAGCACTTGGGAAGTAGAGACAGGCAGATCCCTGGGGCTCTCTGACCAGTCAGCCTAACCTGCTTCTCAAGTTCCAGGCCAGTGAAAGATCCTGTCTCCAAAATAAAACACTAACAAAAAAAAAAAAGAAAAAAAAAGGAGCCGGGCACGGTTACACATGCCTTTAGTTCCAGCACTCAGGGAGGCAGAGGCAGGCAAATCTCTGAGTTCCAAGCCACCCTGGTCTGCATAGTTCCAGGCCAGCTGAAGCTACAGGGAGACCTGTCTCAAAAAGACCAAAAGAAAAAGAAAAAAAGATAGTGCCTAAGCAATGACTCCTGAGGTTGTCTTCTGGCCTCTACACACACACAGATATGCACCTGTACAGACATGCCTAGACCCACATACACAATAAAAACAAAAATACTGGAATTTAGGAACATGCCTATGACTCCAGTGCTTGGGAAGCCAAGGCCAGTCTGTTCAAGATAGCAAGGCTCTGCCTCTAAAAAGTAAAGAAGAGCTGGGCATGGTAGCGTACACCTTTAATCCCAGCACTCATGAGGCAGAGGCAGGCAGATCTCTGTGAGTTCAAGGCCAGCCTGGTCTACATAGTGAGTTCCAGGACAGCTGGGGCTACAGGGAGACCCTGTCTCAAAAAGACCAAAAAAAAAAAAAAAAAGTAAAGAAGAGGAAGCATTTACAAGGAACTTGGGAAGGAAGCATCTTTGTGATTTTTTTTTTTTTTCTCCCCTTCTCTTCATCAGCTACTGAGTCCTATTATTTTAGCACTTTGTTTCCAAGACTAGGATAAAACTAACATGATTTAATCATGTCGTATCCCAGTTTCAATACTGGGATAAAAATGTGGTTCAGAGCTCATGTACCTCTGAGAACATAAGATACTGAAAAAGATGAATTGGAATAATCATTGATCTGATTATTTTTTAAAAGCATATTTAGTTGGCAGGTTGAACTAATCTATAGTAATCACTACAGCCTATCTCAAAATGTTCTGGGAAAATTTAACCAAAATAACTTTTTAAAGCTGACAAGCAACCGAGTTCAAGTACTTGGTACAATGAAAGAATAAATAAAAATATTTTAATAGCTACTTACTTGAACATATCCTTTCTTCAGAAAGTCTAAGAATATAATACTATATGATTATGATAATAATGACTTAAAATCCATTGGAAAGGTATCGTAAAAGAATTTTAAAAATATACACATACACATATCAGAGCTAAACATGGTGATCTACACTTACAACACCAGTACTTCGAAGGTAAAGGGAAGATCAGGAAGGAGTTCAGGGCCATTCTCAGCTACATAGTAAAGTTGAGGCAGCCTGGGCTACATGAGGCTCTGTTTTAAAAAATCAGAAACGGGCCAGTGAGAAGGCTCGGTGGGTAAAGGCACCTGATTCCAGGCCTGACAATCTGAGTTTAATCCCAGGGACCCTCATGGTAGAAGTAAGAGAATCAACTCCATGAGTTGACCTCTGACCTCCACCCATACACTTGTCATGTGTGCACATGCACATACAAATAAACAAAATATAACAATTTTTTTAGTCAGAAATGGGCTGGGCCTCACGGCACAGACCTTTAATCCCAGCACCCAGGAAGCACAGTGGATCTCTAAATTTGAGACCAACCTAGTCAACATAGTGAGTTCCAGCCCAGCAAGGGCTACATAGTGAGATGCTGTCTCGAGAAAACAAAAAACAAAAAACACAACAACAACCTAAAACACACAAAACCCCACCAAAACTAGGGGCTGGAAAGGTGGCCCATCCAAGTGCTTATCACCAAGCCTGATAATCTAAGTTTGATCTCTACAACCCATATGGTAGAAGGAAGAGAATCAACCCCCACAAGATGTCCTCTGACCTGCACACACACATTATGGCACATATATACACATCCACAGAGGCAAGGACACTAAATAAATGCTTTAAAAAATTAGATGTTGGTGGGCGTGGTAGTGTACTCAGGAGGCAGAGGCAGGCAGATCTCTGAGTTCAAGACCAGCCTGGTCTACAAAGGGAGTTCCAAGCCAGCTAGGGCTACAGAGAAACCCTGTCTCAAAAAGATGAAAAAATAAATTAGATGTTACTTTATCTTTCATTATCTATATGGCAGGGAGCATTCTACCTTTTACATTTAGTCTGTCATTATATTAACAATTTCTTACCTTGTGGAATTCTTTTCTGAGAAAAACAGATATAATTTTGTTCCTAAAAAAAGTTTAGGCAGAAAAACTGAAAGTTAGTTTCAAAATAGTTTCTTGAAAATGAAAAATTACAAAATGTTAACTTAGTACATTCAGAATATATTGTGACATCTGATATCACCTAACAAAACTTAAGAGAGTAGATTTCTTTTTGAGAGAAGATCTCACTTATGTAGCCCTGGTTGGCCTGGATCTTGCTATGTAATCAGGCTGGCTTCAAACTCAAGAGATCTGCCTGCCTCTGCCTACTGACTGCTGGGATTAAAGGTATGGACCATCATGCCCAGCTGACAGGAATTTCTTAATAATAAAATTACTTTTAGCAAAAACATAAAATTCACTTTTTATTATAAAAATACCACTGAAACTATCAACTGAGCAGCAAATCATTTTTGTCAGGCATATAATGATGTGTGGCATACTTCATATTCTAAGACACCAGAAACTCAAGTCAGATTTATTTTCTCAAGGCCTGATATTCCAAAGGATGATTTTAATTTTTAAATTAAATTAAATTTTTATTTTATGTGCACGAGTGTACTGCCTGAATGTGTTTAAGGGTACCCGTGGCCTGCCAATGTCCCCAGAGGACAGAAGAAGGTGTCAGGTCCCCCAGAACTAGAGCTGTTAGTCACCATGTGAATGTTGGGAATCAAACCCAAGTCCTCTGCAAAAACAGCCAGTGCTCTTAACTGCTGTGCCATGTCTCCAGGCCCCGAGATGATTTTTTTTTTTTAAAGGCAGAAAATGCATGTAAGTTCATCCATTTTTAACAGAAGCATTTATATTCACAAAGTATTGTTTTTGTTTTTGGGTTTTTTTGTCTTTTTGAGACAGGGTCTCCATGTAGCCCCAGCTGTCTTGGAACTCACTATGTAGACCAGGCTGGCCTCAAACTCACAAAGATCTGCCTGCCTCTGCCTCCCAAGTGCTGGGAGTAAAGGCATATTCACAAAGTTTTATAATCATTAATATCATCTAATTACAAAACATTTTTGTTACCCTCAGTAAGTAAACCCTAGTAAAAATACTGAAGGCATTACTTCTAATTCCAGGAAGAAATAGTTAAAGCAAATTCAATTTTTTTAAAAAAGCATATTCTTGGCCCAGCATGATGGAACACACCATTACTTGGTGGAACACACCAACACTTGGGAGGCAGGGGCAGGTAGATCTCTGTGAGATTAAGGCCAGCCTGATTTATATAGTGAGTTCCAGGTCAGCTGGGGCTACAAGGAGACCCTGTCTCAAAAAGACAAATAAGTAAATAAATAATAAAAAGCATATTGTTTGCCTGTTTTTTTGAGATTGACTATCCTTCTGTATCCCAGGCTGGCTCTGAACTTACTATGTAGCCCAAGCTGGCCTCAAACTCACCAAGTTCCTCTTGTCTCAGCCACCCAAATGCCGAGATTTCAGGCATGGGCTGCCATACCAAAATAAGAAACATGCTCTTTACAATATTATGATCAAATTTTTATTTTTTTAAATATGCCAAAGACTGAAAATAGATATAAAAAAAGTAAGAGAAGTTGTATTGGACAGTAGTATCATAATGACTATTTTCCTATACATGTCCTATACAGTTGTTATTCAATAATATTACCTATATGATTCTTCAAAAAGTATAGCAGAAACATTTTCTAGAACTACATGCTAGAATTTGTACTACAAAGTAAAAATATAAATATGTGACTTTTTTTAATGCCCATATTTTTATTAAATGTTTTTCAAAGTAAAAAACTGGTAAAAGTGAAAGATTTGGTCACACTTACTGATCTGGTTGGAAAGCCACACAGCATCTTACTTTATGATCGGTGGATTGCTTCATCACTGTTACATTTGTGCATCTACTTCTTAATGGCCATTTCTGAAATAAAGGTACAGCAATTTAAGAATGTGACTCCAATATATTACAAAACCATAAAATCTTTAAGGAGAAGTAACGACACTACAGTGTCCAATGAGAACTATGAAAAGAGTTCTTAGGCAAACTCCTAATAGAAAACACTATTAACAGGGCTGAGGGTTATGTGAGTGGGGGCAAAACTGGCTACTGTTCCACAGACTCAGAATGCTTTAGTCCTCAACACCTTTGTCTTACAATTCCTGATTGTGATTTATAAACTGGAACAAAAAAAGATACAGATAGGAAACCCTATCTGCATGTTTTGAACACCATGAAGTAACTGCTATTTTTCCAGTAAGCCTAAAATGAAAATTCAGAAAGAAAATTTTGGTCAATTTTGCTTATTAATTTAAAGCACCTAAAATGACTGTCATGCCAGTAAGTGCTCTGCAAATATTTACTGAAAGAATGAATAAACTGATGCATTATTTAACTCCAACTGATGAACTATATCAGGTATTTTTAAATTGGAGTCTCAAAACATCATTTCTTCCACAGAAACACCATTAATGCAGGTACTACATCATCATCATCATCATGATCATCACCACCACCACCACCCCTCTAATAACCACAGGCCATAAAAGGCAGTGAAGAGTGGGTAGGTATTCTATCTTTATTAAGCATAATAATGTTCTTTGAGGTACTTGTAGAGTTTATTAGGCATAATGTTCTTTGAGGTACTTGTAGAGACTGTTAGGAATATACGAAGTCTTCTATAAAAAGTGAAAAGTTGTTACTCTGACAGATCTCAAGAATCAACCCCAAAACCCAGTAGTTCCCTATGTCTCACTCTATAGCTGAATGATATTTCACAAAATGCTATTTGTGTGCATGTGTTTATGTGTGAAAAACTTGGAAGAATGCCTTGTCTTTTCTGTTTTCCTTTTAAAGAGAGAAAAAAGGGATAATAAACCCAAACCATCTTAAAATAGTAATGGAGAAAAGAAGTAGGATAGAAGGGACATGACTGAAAACTAAACTTTAATTTGTTCTACAAAAGTCAGTTGCTTGGTTGTTTGGCTGGTTGGTTAGTTGGTGACTGAGACAGGATATTGCTATGGCTTGGTATTCCTGAGGTAACCCAGGCTGGCCTAGAACTCAAGATTCTTCTGCCTCACCCTCCCGAGTGCAATGATTCCTGGCATGTGCCACTACACCAGGCTATAGAAACACATTTTAAGAAAATTAAAGTCAAAACAGGGCTGGTGAGACAGCTCAGAAGGTTAAGGGTATCTGTCACCAAGCCTAACAGCTTGAGTTCAATTCCCAGGGCCTACATGGTGGAAGAAGAGAACTAATTCCTGAAAGCTGTCCTGTGACCCCCCACATGTGTACTGTGGCATACTCACCCATCCCAATAGTCTTGTTATTGCAAATATGTAATATCTATCATCAGAAAGAGTCAAAGACAAAATCACAGAAGAAACTGGATAATCATAAAATGGAGTATCCATGGACTCATGATGTATATCATAAACGGCTATTACTTGCTCTTTCATCTAAAAAAGTTTTAAGGCAACTATTATCTAGTCACAAATCACAATGTAGTAACAGCAACCACAGATTGAAGCATTAAGTACAAGAGAGAAAGTGGGAGGGGAGACAGCTGGAAGAGTGCGAGAAACAAGTGAGCTGAGGTTCTGGGGATCTAACCCCAGGTTCAAACAGGCTAAGCAGATATTCTACCACTGAGCTACAAGTCCAGCTGCCACTTCCACATTTATCACGATTCATGCCACTATAGCTACATAATTATTGGTCACTGGTCTCCCTTGCACACTTCCTCAATGTCCTGGATAGCATTAGTTGTCAATTTGACAGACCTGGTAGACGGCGCCTCATTGGTGCCCTCCATTGGTGAATTGCCTCCATTGAACTGGCCTGTGGCTATCTTTGCGGGACATCTTCTCAATTATTGTGTGATGTGGGAGGGCCCAGTCCACTGTGTGTTGTGCCACCCCTGGGCAGGTGGGCCTGTGTTATATAACCAAGCAAGTTGAGCAGGGGCCAGGGGAGCAAGCCAGTAAGCAGTGTTCTGTGACCTGTGCTTCAGCTCTGCCTCCAGGTTCCTTCCCTAAGTGCTACCTTGGGCTCCCTGATGAACTGTGACCAGGGAGATGTAGGTGAAATAAACCCTTTCCTCCTCAGGTTGGTATTGGTCAGTTTTTTTGTCACTGAAATGGAGAAACAAACTAGAATACTCAAATCAGTTTAGCCATTTTCAAAGGAAAGTCAGTGTCCTTGTTTGTTTCTCCATTGCTGTGACAAAACACTCTGACCAACTTGGGGAGGAAAGGGTTTATTTGCCTTACATCTCCCTCCTGGGTCACAGTTCATCAGGGAGCCCAAGGTAGGAACTCAGGGCAGGTACCTGGAGACAGGGCTGGGGCACAGGCCACGGAGGAACGCTGTTTGCTGGCTTGCTTCCCTAGCCCTTCCTCAGCCTGCTTTCTTAAGCCACAGGCCCACCTGCCCAGAGGCAGCACCACCAGAAGTGAGCTGGGCCCTCCCACATCACTCAATCAAGAAGATGCTCCACAGACATGGCCACAGGCCAGTCCTATGGAGGCAGTTCACTAATTGAGGCTCCCTCAACCCAGGTGTGTCAAGTTGACGCTAAAGCTATCCAGCAGGCAGAACATATCATTCTTATCAAACCCTCCAGGAAAGTCTCCATTTCACTCATCTAAACACCAAAGCCCTTAAAAGGCCAAGAGTTTTACATCCTTCTGACCCCATCTCTTACCAGCCCCCCAACCCCCCTACCTCTGTGCCTTACAGTGGAGCCACATTGCCCTCTGTGGTTTCCTTAAACACACCTTACCATGTTCTCAATCCAGGGCCTTCTGATTTGTTTTTCTTTATGCAAACCAGATTTTTTTTCTTTCTTTCTTTCTCTCTTTCTCTCTCTCTCTCTCTCTCTCTCTCTCTCTCTCTCTCTCCTCTCTCTCTCCTCTCTTTCTCTGGCTTATTTCACTTCTTCTTTTAGAACTTGGTTTTTAAAAGTCATCTTATCAAAGAGATCTGCCCTTGTACCCTGGACAAGCACTCCGCCCCCAAGAATATCTTTGTTCTTTTTATCTGGCAGAGAATATTGAGGGAAAATAAGCTACAAATTTTAGATAGGCTAATTTCAAGCACAACATCATCAGTTTTCTTCAGTGTTGTGTCTAAACATCTACAGATCTAAACTGTCACTTTTAAAAGATTCTTAGATTTTCAACTTCAAAGAAGTAATGAACATGTATCTGTTTCTATTATTATTTAATTTAATTAAATTAATTAATTTATTTGTCTTTTTTGAGACAGGGTCTCCTTGTAGCCCCAGCTGTCCTGGAACTCACTATGCAGACCAGGCTGGCCTTGAACTCACAAAGATCCGCCTGCCTCTGCCTCCCAAGTGCTGGGATTAAAGGCATGGGCTACCATGCCTGGCTCCTTATTTTATTTTTAAATAAATCTGTACCATAACTCTACAAAGGAGTAATTCAAGATTGTAATCAAATGAGTCCCATAAGAAACAACTGCTAATATAAATGGCATTTCTTTATCCTACTTCTTTAAGAATTTCTGTTTATGATTACATATAAAGTTTCAAGTTTTCTCAGGAAAAGTTCAACTACTCCAAATTTATCTGTTATCTTTAGGTATCATGACCACTAGAAACAATCAGTAAAACATACTCTTTTTTATATATTTTATTATTTTTATTTTATGTGTATGAGTATATTGCCTGCATGTATGTGAGTGCACCTGTGACATGCAATGCTGCGGAGGTCAGAAGACAGCTTCAGATTTCCCAGGAACTGGGGTTACAGACAGTTGTTAGCCACCACGTAGGTGCTGAGAATTTAACATGGGTCCTTTGAAAGAGCAGCCAACGCTCTTAACCACTGAGCCATCCCTCCAGCTCTGGAGACCTGCTACTCTCAAAGAGGACCTGGGATTCAGTACCTAGCATCCACATCAGGTGGCTCAAAACTATCTGTAACTACAGTTCCAAGAAATCAACACCTTTTTTTGGCCTCTGCGAGCACCTGCACATACATGGTGCATATACATACACTCAGACACATACACATATAAAATAAAAAGTAAAATGGAATGAATTCATGAGACTTCTGGGTATAACATATATGTTAAAGAAATTTGAAATGGCTCATGTGTCCTTTAGGAATCATAGAATTGTAAATAATATAGATGAGTAGCTAAATTTAGCATTAGCTAATGCCCCTAAAGATAAGAAATTACATTGTCAACACCCTGTTTTCAACTTGGTTGTTTAACAAAAGAATTACTACTCATTTGAGAACTGCTGTTAGTACAATAGTCTGCACAGGAGGTATAAATCTTAAAGAAGTAGACTAGAAGATATAACACTGAAAACATACACACAAAAAAATCCATTTTATACAGCTTCCATTGGATCAAAAATAAAAAAAATTCGTAAGAATAGTTCTCAAACTAAAATTTATATTCTAAGAAAGATCAGATGAGGATAGGACAAAAAGCACAGTATACACAATGTAAAAAGTTTAATACTTAAAGAACAAAATCACTTAATTTTATGAACATTTTCCGTACATCAGCATTTCTCTAACACCCAGCTCACATTTAAGGTAGTCCAAAAATGTTTTCTGTAAAAGGGCACTCGAATTACTCAATTTTATAAAAATTATGCTATTTCATCAGAAAAGCACAAGTAAATAACATTATTATAACTTACTGTTTAGGTAGCATATAAAATCTGCAGGACAGACTTGTACTAAAGCAATAACTAATTAGTTATGGCTTATTCAGTGCTTTCTTCTGACCTCCATGGGCATTGCACAACACAGGTGCACTTACACACATGCAAGAAATACATTCATACACATAAAATAAAAATAATAAATTTTAAAAAACAAGTTTTAAAAATAATAGTCACAAAATGAGAAAAAGAATTGGAAATTGAGCTGAGGAAGCTCAATGGCAAAGCACCTGCCTACCATGTGCCACAAAACAAAACAAATTATTCAAGCATTGGCTAAAAATATATTAAAATTTAAGATAGGGAGGGGGACTTCCTCACCCCTCTCCACTTCACACGGTGTGACAGGGTTGGGGAGACCCAGCAGAAACCTTCAGGTCACCCAGGGAACTGCTCCCGTGGCTGGTCCTGGCGCGGCGAGGCGGGGGAGTGAGCGCCAGGCGCGCGGGGCGTGGAGATGTGCAAGTGGCGAAGCTGGACCGAGCGCAGCCAGCATCTACTGAGCAGCCAAGGCGAGGGCCACTACCACTATTAAAAGATGAATGCAATTCCCTATCATCACCCCAGAAGCCCTGAGACTAAGCTATAATGAGTTATATAACCATTAAATAAGACATTTCAACATTCAGATTTTAGGTGATGGGCAGATCAGAAAGTCAGATGGACATAACTGATATCAATACTCCTAAGCCAAAGAAGAAACAGCGATGGACCCCACTGGAGATCAGTCTTTCAGTCCTTGTCCTGCTCCTGACTATTATAGCTGTGACGATGATCGCTCTTTATGCCACCTATGATGATGGTATTTGCAAGTCATCAGACTGCATAAAATCAGCTGCTCGACTGATCCAGAACATGGATGCCACTGCTGAGCCTTGTAATGACTTCTTCAAATATGCCTGCGGAGGCTGGTTGAAGCGCAACATCATTCCTGAGACCAGTTCCCGATAGAGTAATTTTGACATATTAAGAGATGAACTAGAAGTCATTTTGAAAGATGTCCTTCAAGAACCTAAGACTGAAGACATAGTAGCAGTACAGAAGGCCAAAACCTTGTACAGGTCTTGCATAAATGAGTCTGCTATTGATAGTAGAGGTGGTCAACCTCTGCTCAAACTGTTACCAGATATATATGGGTGGCCAGTAGCCACAGAAAACTGGGAGCAAACATATGATACATCTTGGACAACTGAGAAATCTATCGCACAAATGAATTCTAAATACGGGAAAAAAGTCCTCATTAATTTTTTTGTTGGCACCGATGATAAGAATTCCACCCACCATATAATTCATTTTGACCAACCTCGACTTGGCCTCCCTTCCAGAGAGTACTATGAATGCACTGGAATATATAAAGAGGCTTGTACAGCATATGTGGATTTTATGATTTCTGTGGCCAGGTTGATTCGTCAGGAAGAAAAATTACCTATTGATGAAAACCAGCTCTCTTTGGAAATGAATAAAGTTATGGAATTGGAAAAAGAAATTGCCAGTGCTACAACTAAACCTGAAGATCGAAACGATCCAATGCTTCTTTACAACAAAATGACACTGACCCAACTCCAAAATAACTTTTCACTAGAGATCAATGGGAAGCCATTCAGCTGAATAAAAACTTCCCGGATTTGTGCAATCAAATCTTCAACCACGTGGCGAAATCATGTCAACTGTGAATATTAATATACAAAATGAGGAAGATGTGGTTGTTTATGCTCCAGAATATTTAACCAAACTTAAGCCTATTCTTACCAAATATTCTGCCAGAGATCTTCAAAATTTAATGTCCTGGAGGTTCATAATGGATCTTGTAAGCAGCCTCAGCCGAAACTACAAGGAGTCCAGAAATGCTTTCCGCAAGGCCCTGTATGGCACAACATCAGAAACAGCAACATGGAGACTTTGCGCCAACTATGTCAATGGGAACATGGAGAATGCTGTGGGCAGGCTTTATGTGGAAGCAGCATTTGCCGGAGAGAGCAAACACGTGGTTGAAGATTTGATTGCACAAATCCGGGAAGCTTTTATTCAGACTTTAGATGACCTCACTTGGATGGATGCTGAGACAAAAAAGAAGGCTGAGGAGAAGGCCTTAGCAATTAAAGAAAGGATCGGCTATCCCGATGACATTATTTCAAACGATAACAAACTGAATAATGAATACCTTGAGTTGAACTACAAAGAAGAGGAATACTTTGAGAACATAATTCAAAATTTGAAATTCAGCCAAAGTAAACAACTAAAGAAGCTTCGAGAAAAAGTGGACAAAGATGAGTGGATAAGTGGAGGAGCAGTCATCAATGCATTTTATTCTTCAGGCAGAAATCAGATAGTCTTCCCTGCTGGCATTTTGCAGCCCCCCTTCTTTAGCGCCCAGCAGTCCAACTCATTGAACTATGGGGGCATCGGCATGGTCATAGGACATGAAATCACGCATGGCTTCGATGACAATGGTAGAAATTTTAACAAAGATGGAGACCTCGTTGACTGGTGGACTCAGCAGTCTGCAAATAATTTTAAAGACCAATCTCAGTGTATGGTGTACCAGTATGGAAACTTTTCCTGGGACCTAGCAGGTGGACAGCACCTCAATGGAATTAATACACTAGGAGAAAACATTGCTGATAATGGAGGTATTGGCCAAGCATACAGAGCCTATCAGAATTATGTTAAAAAGAATGGTGAAGAAAAATTACTTCCTGGACTTAACCTCAATCACAAACAACTGTTCTTCTTAAACTTTGCCCAGGTGTGGTGCGGGACCTATAGACCAGAGTATGCAGTCATTTCCATTAAAACAGATGTGCACAGTCCAGGCAATTTTAGGATTATTGGGACTTTGCAGAACTCTGCAGAGTTTGCAGAAGCCTTTCATTGCCGCAAGAATTCATATATGAATCCAGAAAAGAAATGCCGGGTTTGGTGATGTTCACAAGAAGCCGTGCATCTGGTGGCTAGACTTGCTAAAGCCACAAAAACGGGAACTCTCCAGCTGAGAGAAAATGGGCCCTAGACATTTCTGCAGCTACTTCAGGGCAATTCACAGAGATGAGTAGAAGCTAACATAAATGACATTAGATTATTGGATCCGTTGTAAGGAGGGGTAAAGGATCTAAGGTCTACCAAATCAGTCACTTCACTGTGTAAATAATGCTTACTTTCAAAGGATAGTATTACCTTCATTTCTGTTTCTCGTGGGGTCTGCAAGTTTAATGCTGTCCCCGGAAAACAGTGTCAATCACCTGAGGCAGACCATGACTTCTAATCAAAGCAATTAAAGAAGATGCTAAGTACCATTGGGCACCAAAGCACAGCAGCGATTTGCCTAAGTGCTCACTTTCCTTCTCAGCGT